AGACCCCGAACCCTAATCCTGAACTCCAAACCGAAAGCCCCAAAGCCTCAGCCCCCCCATTCCCAGAGGTTGGATGCAGGCTACGAGTTGTCGTGCCGTGGGAAGAAACCAAAGACATTGGGCCGTGTGTGGGAGTCTATGCTGGCAGCTAAGCTACACACTCCAAAAGTCTTGACGGCGCCCGAAGAGTTTGGGGTTTAGGGCTTCGGGATTTGAGGTTTAGGGTTTGGGATCTGGGGGTTCAAAAGGGTTATGATATTTAGAAACCCTACGTACAGGTGAGCCTCCTTGAGCGGCTTCACAGGCGAGCCAGGGGTACCTGCGGATGGAGCATAAAAACCAGCTGAACCAGCCTCAAAACTTGATGCGATCCACCCAGAGATTTTTGAATCCACAATATGCCTCAGTCTGACTGGAAGACCTAAGCCCTTAAACTCACAAACACTCCTAAACCCTAAACCCTAAACCCCACAAAAACTAAAACCCAGAAACCCAGAAGCTTCGGAAGAGCGCACTGCTCTTCAGTGGAACCGTTCCTGGAGAGCACGAAGCTACGAGACACGAAGCCGCTTCTCGAGTTGGTGTTATGAAGGGGTTTTGAAACCTAACACCTAACGCCTAAACACCCACAAATCCTAGACTTGGTTGGAGATATATAGGGCTATAGGGGTTAAGGCCTCCGGTTCGGCAGCCAGCGTAGAGGCTGATTTCTTGCGAGTTGACCAACATACAGAAAGTTCTGGGAAACACCAGAAAGCATTGGGAAGCAATAGAAAAAGAAATTAAAATCATAAAACTCAACACTAACCCGAATCACCGGGACTAGTCTTCGGGGTTTGGGGTTCCAAGATTCAGTTCTGAGAAGGATGAGCCTGAGCCGAACCCAAAACCGCTCATCACGACAATAACCTCCCTCCTCCCCACTGCCGGCCCCCACCCCCGAAACCAAGATCCCGAAACTCTGCGAATGACGAGCCCAGAGCCGCCCTAAACCCTAAAGCGGTGCCTGCAGCTGAGATGATCTGGCCCCTGGGAACATCCTGGGCACTCAACTTTAAGTAAGAACGAAAGGCTAGACTCGCCTCCCCTAACTTCGTTGTACCCATATAGTATGTACTTGGGCCTTAAAGTACCGATAAAGAGAGCCTAAGTCCTGGTCCCAAGTATTACACATGCATGATTAAGCCACTGGAATTGCCGCAAGCCTTCAATCAATGTGCCTTCGCAGGAGGGCTGCAGAAGGGCAAGTGCGGGTTTCAGACTGGGGATTAGCATGTCGGCCGACTTCTGTATGTGTAGGCTTCTTTGAGCTTTGCCGACGTCTTCGCCGAGGCATGGTGCCTTAAACGTGCAGACCTCGAAGCTCGCCACGAAGAAATTTGGTCTCAAGATTTAAACCCTAAACCCTAAACTCTACCCAGACTGTCACGAAAGCGTGAAGGGTAAAAAGGCTTGACCCGAAGTCCCAAGAATCCTGAAACACGGAGCTCGGGGACTTGGCTCGGAGTCATGGACTCAGGTTTCGGCTTCAGGGATTCGGGGTTTCGGGTTATTGGGCTTTTGAAGTAACCAGGGAGAAAAAAACAGCCTGATATTTCATAATGGTTCCCTTTAAGTGATAGATCCCAGCAAGACAGTACTAAAGCATGGTACTCCAACCTAAACCCGAAGCCCTAGCCTCTTTATCCAATAGAACCCCAAATGTTAATGATATTCGCGGGCAAGGCCCAAAAAATCGCGGGGCAAGGCAAAAATTGCCAAAACGGGCCTTGCCCGCGAATATGTAGGCCATGCCCGCGAATATCCTTAAATGTCAATGATATTCGCGGGCAAGGCCCAAATATTCGCAGGCATGGCCCAAACATTCGCGGGCAAGGCCCAGAGATTCGCTGGCAAGGCCAATATTGCCAAACCTTGTTTATCGTTCGCGGCATAAGCCCCGTTTAGGGTTCGCCGCATAAGTCCACGCGTTTAGGGTTCGCCGCAGAATCCGCGTTTTGGGTTCGCCTGTTTAGGGTTCCCTGCATAAGCCGTCTTCCAGTTCAGGGTTTCGTTCAGGATTCGTTTAAGGTTTCGCTTAGGGTTTCGTTTAGAGTTCCGCTTAGGGTTCTGTTACGATTCCGTTGAAGGTTTCGTGTAAGGGTTTCGGTTGGGGTTTCGTTTAGAGTTTCTTTTCGGGTTCCGCTTAAGGCTCGTATAAGGTTCGTCGTAAAGCCTTGGAGCTTCGGAAAAACTGAATTTGTATTTTCTGAATGTCATGGGATTCTTTGGGCGGGTGTTTTTTTGCAAAATATCCGAAACCGCCAGCTCGACTAGAGAGTCTAGACCCTAAACCCTAAACCCGAACCCTAAACTAAAGCTGGTGATGCCTGCCGCGACATCAAGGAGCTAATGGTATCGCCAGCGCACGCGCGCCGAGCGCCGGCATCCGTTTCCGGAACGGATGCTTATTGCTTGCAGCTGAGCGCTCAGAGTTAGCTTCGTGCTATGTACCGCATTTGTTCCCTTCGGAGGGTGCATTTTTCGCTTCCAGCATAGAAAGTGAATAACTAGTAATGCCCCAAAGCCCAGGGTCGGGATCCTAAATGGCTGGTAAAGTTTTGAAGCTTTGGGCCTTATAACGGGCAAGGCCACCCCACAAAAGCACCAAAATGGTCGATTTTGCAATGATCTCACGAAAAAAATTTATCACCAGAATGGAAGCTCCAAAATGCCAGAAAACCAGGCGTTCCACCAGGGTCGTCCCGAGCGCTTATAGGCATGGGCGAGCGCCCATAAGCATGAGCCGGCCTTGTAGACCAAAAACTTCTGGAGCGCCCATAGGCATGGGCTGGCCGTTTACATAGGTATGGGTCGGCCGTGAGGGACTCTAGTGCTGGGCTTGTCATCCGGACCCTTCGCCAAGAGGACGACCCGCCAGGACGCCCCGCCAAGACACGAGCCTGGGCCGGATGCCGGAGTTTCTGGCATTTTGGAGCTGCCGTTCTGGTGATAATTTCTTTTCATGAGATCATCACAAAAGTGACCATGTTGGTGCTTTTGTGGGTTCCCCCCATTTCCGTGGCCTCCCATCATGCAAGTTCTAAAGTGCTGTGAGCGGCCCCCCGACGAAAGCCTGTAAGCAAGACCTCAAACGTTTGAAGAAATATGCTATACGTCGTCCAAGTGCCAAGGGAGAAGCATACCCGAACAAAGAATGCCCCCCACCGAAACCCTACATAATAAAAAAACCCTAAACCCTGACAGATTCAAAGTCTGGGTGGTCTTGGGGTGGGATGTCGCGTCGCGTCCAGCTCGGCGCGCCGCCCCCCCCCCCCCCCGCGACCCTCTGGGTCGACGAGGCGTGCCACTTACGATGGGAAACCCGGAACCCCCAACCCCAAACCCTAAGCCCTACACCCTACACCCCAAACCCAAAACCCTAAGCCCCAAACCCCAAACCCCTAAGCCCTAAACCCAAACAGGTGATTGAAGTTCGGCACTCCCCTTTGTGCGCCTCACAGGTCGCCTCCTCCAGGAACTCCTCGCAGGGCTCCCCCAGCATACCGTTGCCTTCCTGCAGACTCTGGGGATTTAGGCATCTTAGCCCTAAAACCCTAAAGCCTAAAACCCTGAAACCCTAAAACCCCAAAACCCCAAAACCCTAAAACCTGAAACCCTAAAACCCTAAAAGCCTAAAGCCTAAACTCTGAAGCCTAGGCCTTAAAGGCTGAAGCCTAATACCCAAAACCCGAATCGTGGGCTGGGGACTTTGAAGCCTTCGCCACCGGATTCAAAGCTTCCTTCGGCTCCTATCTTCAGTAAGATTTGCCCCAGCCAATACTGCGCAGCAAAGATGCAAATCCTACGCCCTAGCCCATAAACCGTTGGATTTAGGGCTGAGGCTTGAGAGCTACAACGGATAGAGTGTTCGAACAGCGAAGTCCAAAAAATCTGTTGGCGCTGTTCTGTCAGTAGCTTGCCGGTTTTCCGTCTCTAGAAAGATCCGACTCGCTAAGAAAAGGGGAGACAATGCGGTTCAGGGTTTGGGGCTTAGGGTTTAGGGTTTAAGGCTTAGGTTTGTTGTTGAACGCCTTTGTCCAAACCCTAAGCCTTAGGGTTTAGGGTTTAGACACCCTGCGAACGATATCTACGAGGCCCACAAGATGTTCCTAACAAGCAGCAACAAGGCCCGATGACGAAGCCTGTCTCCAAAACACTCCGCACAGAAGCGGCGTCTGCAACTCTTCAATCCCGAACCCGCGTTAAAACAACCGTAAATGAAGCCTGAACCCCATTTCCTGAAGCCCTAAGGCCTAAACCCCAAACCGGGTTCAGGCCCTGAGCCGACTCGGCCGTGATTCGAAAGATCGCTTTTGCCTTCGGGTTTATCGGCGCAGGTGCCGATGTCCAGTCTGCGGCAGCTTTGTTTTATCTCAGAGTGCTCCAAAGCGCGTTTTGACTCATTGCTTAGGGGGGCAGGCCTCAGTCTTCCACGGTTTATGACCATGTGGCGCATCATCGAGGTAGAGTAGTAGTAGTAGTAGTAGTAGTAGTAGTAGTAGTAGTAGTAGTAGTAGTAGTAGTAGTAGTAGTAGTAGTAGTAGTAGTAGTAAAAGTAGTAGTAGTAGTAGTAGTAGTAGTAGTAGTAGTAGTAGTAGTAGTAGTAGTAGTAGTAGTAAGTAGTAGTAAGTAGTAGTAAGTAGTAGTAAGTAGTAGTAAGTAGTAGTAAGTAGTAGTAAGTAGTAGTAAGTAGTAGTAAGTAGTAGTAAGTAGTAGTAAGTAGTAGTAAGTAGTAGTAGTAGTAGTAGTAGTAGTAGTAGTAGTAGTAGTAGTAGTAGTAGTAGTAGTAGTAGTAGTCGTAGTATAGTAGTAGTAGTAGTAGTAGTAGTAGTAGTAGTAGTAGTAGTAGTAGTAGTAGTAGTAGTAGTAGTAGTAGTAGTAGTAGTAGTAGTAGTAGTAGTAGTAGTAGTAGTAGTAGTAGTTGTTAGTAGTAGTAGTAGTAGTAGTAGTAGTAGTAGTAGTAGTAGTAGTAGTAGTAGTAGTAGTAGTAGTAGTAGTAGTAGTAGTAGTAGTAGTAGTAGTAGTAGTAGTAGTAGTGTAGTGTAGTGTAGTGTAGTGTAGTGTAGTGTAGTGTAGTGTAGTGTAGTGTAGTGTAGTGTAGTGTAGTGTAGTGTAGTGTAGTGTAGTGTAGTGTAGTGTAGTGTAGTGTAGTGTAGTGTAGTGTAGTGTAGTGTAGTGTAGTGTAGTGTAGTGTAGTGTAGTGTAGTGTAGTGTAGTGTAGTGTAGTGTAGTGTAGTGTAGTGTAGTGTAGTGTAGTGTAGTGTAGTGTAGTGTAGTGTAGTGTAGTATAGTATAGTATAGTATAGTATAGTATAGTATAGTATAGTATAGAGAACCACGCCACAGGTTGTGGGCATTGAGCCAAAGCCCAAGCTTTCGCAGCCTCCATCTACCTGGCACGCGGTCAATCCAATCACGAAAACCCCAAGGCCAAGAAAACAAAGCCGACACGTCTACGGCCCGCAACTTTAAACTTTAGACTGAACCCGACACCCTTAACTCAAAATCTTTGACCACTCCACACCCTGAACTCAAAACCTTGGAAACCCCTTAAACCCAAAACGCCCAAAACCCTAAAACTTGTCCTCCATCCGCGCGTTGATCAGCACATCGAGCCTGCTGGGCCTAGGCCAAGGTTTTAGGGTTAAGTGGTTTAAGGTTTAGTGTTGTCGGGGTTCCTTTTTTTTGGGCGGCGGAGAGGCTCAGGGTTCCAATCCGCTCTACGCGCGAGCATCCCTAAACCCTAAATCCCTAAACCTCTAAGCCGCAAAACCCTGAGCCCTAAACCCTAAACCCTAAACCCTAAACCCAAAGCCCCTGAAGAGTATTGGGCTGGAATCTCCCGGGTTCTCATGGCCTCAGCAGGAAGCCCAGCAAGGAAGTCGCCAGCAGTCGGCTGCCGACCTCCAAGCCCACTCGAGTTTTCTAGGATTTCTATGGGTGTGGGGCCTAAGGCTTACCTTAACCCAAGTAACCTACCTTTTTGAAGACTTATGTAAGGACATCATAGTAGGGAACCCTAAAAAGGTAGGTTCCGTAGGGTCCAGGTACGGTATAAGAAGGCTCTGTGGCGCTAAGTCCTTGCACAGCCCCGCGCTGATCTCCGCGCATTTTGCTGGCTCCATATGGGAGTTTCCGAAAATAGGGGACCCTCATATAGTACCCTAAATAGTAGGATCCTTATTATAGGGACCCAAAATAAGGTACCCCCTATTTTGGAAACTCCCATATTCTGGTGATCTCGGACTTGATCAACGGCGCTGCCACAGCCCAGTGAACAGGTCCTTCTGGGAGCAATTCGTGCCCCTGCCGCAGTTCTGTGCTCATTTTGTCTGTAAAGTGCTCAGAGTCCTTAAAGTCAGGTTCTTCGCAGCTCCACGCCACGGTCTCGAAGCGTCGTCGTTCTAAGCAATTTTGGAACTTTGGCGAAACATCGAAATCGTGCTCCCGCTACAGTACCATGTGTACTTTGGCGTGAGCATCGTTCGCCTGTCGCATCCGCTTGCCGAAAGCGCGCCCCGCTACACCGCCGCACATATGTTGGCTGGGACTCGTGTTTAATTGCACTGCGGCAAAACGCGCCGCAAAAAGAACAGTGCACACGTTGGAGTGGGACTCGTCTTGCTGCCAAAGTGAGGTAGGTGTTCTGCGGTGGTGATCGTGCTCCCGCCACAGCACGGTGCTCATTTGGGCGCATGGGGTGGACTTGGGACGATCGGGCGAGCCCTTGGCGCGGTCTGGAGTATGTGAGACTTGGACTGATACTGGCAGGTGCACCTCACTCTGAAGTTTGACCGAAAGACTCGCGAAGTCTAAACCATAATAAAAGACCAAAACACCCAAACACCAATTAGGATCTAAACGTGTCTAAGCCCTCAAAACCTCCGACCCGAGACAGCAAGGCTCGAGGGCGTGAACCTCCAAACATGTCCCTCGCGGCCTCCACGCGGTCAACCCACTTGGCCCGTGCCCACGGATCCAGTAGTGAAGCCAAGGTGACGACGATTGGCAAAGAGAGGAAATACCTGGCAAGACAGAAGTGGATTGATGATCTTCGGAAGAGATTGTGTGTGTGTATGTGTATATATATATATATACACTGTGCTCATAATAAGGAACCCCAACAAAAGTATTGGCAAGTAGCTTTGGGACACTGTGAGACTTGGAGCTTAGGATCCTTTCCAAGTTTGAAGCCCGTCATCTTCAGGAAGCCACGCTGAAACCCTAAGACCTTCTTCCGTTTCAGGGACGGGCTTTCAGGGTTTAGGGTTGACTTAACATCTCGAAAATCTGTAGACCCCAAGCCCCATTGTAGAACCTAAACTCCACAGCATCACAACCCCTCCCGACATCGAAGGCACCGACACCCCAAAGGCCTGAAGAACCGGCTCCCGTCCCACAAAAAAAAGGAAAGCGATGACCAGGGTGCAGGATGCAGACACCGAAGACGCAGACCTGGCTCAGGGGAAAAGAATCAGCTGAGAGGCTTCGGGGGTTTGCAAAAAGGGCTTAGGGTTTAGGAAGCTGACGTCTGCAACACAGGAGGCTTTATGATTAGAATAGGGTTGAAAGATGGTTGGATAGCTGTTTTTTAATGAGGGTCCTAGTTCAGGGGCCTTCATGATTGGAGCAGGGTTTTGGGATCTATGATACCATAAGACTCCAAGAAATAGTTTCCATACTTATGCAAGCTTCTATGCTAGAATGGAAGATTATTGCAAGCTTCCGTATTCCCAGGGATTCATCAGTTCAGGATTCATGTTGGAGTGCATGGTGTAGGCCTAGGCGGTTAGGGTTTTGGGGTTCCGGACTGGGCTTGTTGGGTTTTGGAGATGATGGAGTTTGGAGCTCAAAAGGTTTACGGGTAGGAAACACTGGTATTCACAACTCACGGCTTGATTTTGGGTGGTTAGGGGTTTAGGGTCGGGTACATGAGTTCTCGTATCGCTGAAAGCGGACTCTGAAGGGATAGTAGCAACAGTTTGTGAGGATACTGTCTTGAAAGCGTTTCCGGCTCCATGTTCTGCGACAGGACAAGGCAGGGAAAGCTCTAGCAAGCACCTCCTAAACATGGACTACAACTTTTGCGACTTTGCCAAGCAAAACCAAGCTAAGCGAGCTTGGCCGGCGTAGAAGTTGCGCACTTCTACCGCGACCTTCCCGGGAGAGATGCGCGCAGCTTCGGACTTAGAGCCCCGAGCCTAGACTTTGGAGCTTAGGGTTTAGGAGCCGCTCTGACTGCTTCGTATTACACTAATGCTGCTGCTGCCGCTACTGCTGCTGCCGAAGCAGCTTCGCTTGCTTCTGCTCCTGTTACTCCTTCTCTTATTGCTGCTACCGCTGCTGCCATGTACTGCTGTTACTACTATCACAAATCTTACTGCCCCTTTTGGGCTTGGTGAGCATAACATGCTTGCTGTCCCGAAAACAGCTGCATCATTAGTACTTGCTGTTGAGATCAGCTCTATGACAATTCCGAATGCCGGTACCCTTGCCACTGCTTGTGTTGTTGCTCATGAATGTTAATACTCATACTACTGATGCATGTTCTTAACATGCCTTCTCCTTCATGTCACGACAATGCATGTGAATTCAAGCCTTGACACGAAGCCGAAGTTCGCAAAAAAAACAGATGCACGGAGGCGTGCAAAAGAGGGGCAGCTGGCATAGGATTTTGGAGCATATTATATCATACTAATCATACGGTGATACTATTTCTCAGCGGTTCCGACCCTTATGTAGATAACCTGCGTCGCACAACATGGTCGCCGCAGGTTTGGGGTTTGAGTGCTGCAGGGATTCAGCGGTTCAGGGGTTTGGGGGTTGAAGGCTTAGAGTGGCTGAGGTTTTAAGGGCTTCAAGGTGTGATGTCAGGGTCTATAAGCCTCAGGGTCTGTGGCTTTCAAGGCTTCAAGGTTGCGGGTCTTGAGGACTCTGCGGATCGCGAATGCACTGCGAATGCCATACCAAGCCAGGAAAGGTAATAAAAGCACAAACTCAGTTCGAAGACTCAGGATTTAGGGACAAGGATCCCAGCCTTATACACCGCAAAGCCCCAAAAGGTCTTTGTTGGAGCTCCTGCACAGCGAGCCTCCACTTGTATGGTGTCACGCATGGAGCGCCATGCCTCGAAGCTGAACCAGGGCTATGTGCTAAGACTGCTAAGAGACTGAGCATTGCAAGTTCATTTGGGGCTTCGGGCGAGCTGAATGGGGGCTTCTATTCGGGTCGGCTGGCTTCAGCAGCAGCAACTCCAGTAACAGCCAACTGACCCAGTTCAAGTTCCGCTGGCAGTCAGCATGAAGGCAAACACACAATGGACGGGGCTCCACTTCAGCTCAATGAGGGCTTCCTTTACTGTTCACCCACCTACAGCTACTACTACGACCGCGACGACGTGCTGTACTGGTGCCGGCACCGGTGTCGGTACTGGTACTGGTTACCGCTTACTGGGTCTTACTACCACGTACCAGTTAGTGCCAAATACTAACTAACTACATACTAACTACTTCTTCCTAACTGCAAAACTCCGAACTACTGGAAACCACCAACTAACTACCAACTAACCAAAAACAACTACGTACTACTAACAACGAACTACCATCCGCTACCTACTACCCACTACTGCCTACTACTTATATACTACAAGTACCTACTGCTCCTTCTACTGCTGCTCCTGCTGCTGCTGCTCCTGCTCCTACTCCGCACCACTGCTATCATCACCACCACCACCACCACCACCAACAACAACAACAACAATGGCCACAGTGGCCAAAGGCAATACGCAAAAGCAGCAGCAAGATCAGCTGCAGTACCTCTACTGGCTGATTTTCAATCAAGTTAAGCAGCATGATCTACACAAACCCCTTCGCAGCCTCCAGAAAGAGCACCGTGTTCATGGCGAGGACGCTCGTCCCGGGCCAGCTCTGTCAGGTGGCGGCATCAGCTTTCGGGTCATGTGGGAGTTTCCGAGAAGAGGGGACCCACATATGGTACCTTAAGTGGTAGGATCTTTATTATCAGGACCCCAACATAAGGTACTCCCATTTTCGGAAACTCCCATGTTGGGTCTGAGACAAATTCAGGTTCCACGAGGGCTGTGAGTGTGGAGCGGATTTCCTACGTCCACAGTTCGGCCTGGCTGCAGGACAAGTGAAAGCAATGAGTCGATCCAGAAGCACGAAAAACAACTGCTCTGCAAAAGAAAGAGTTCCAAGCAAAACCCTACATTCAACGACTCAAGTCCGATTCACGGGGATGGGAAAGGAAGCATGATATCGGAGACTCATCCCATGACTTCTTATGGAGGGTTGTTGGACTGATATGTAAGGCTTTGCGGCTCGCTGCTCAAATCTCTTCGTTTGTGGGGCCAACCTTCGGCCACCTTGCTACATTCACAGGATCGTCGGGTTTAGGATCTAGGATTTAGGGCTTAGCGTCTGTATGTTGAGGATTTAGGGTTTGGGGCAGTGCCGCGGGCAAGTTATTCAACCCCAAACTTCTATGGGCTTCCCGTAAATGCAAGCACCGTGCACCTCGTAGACATAAATCTGCGCGCTCCAGTCGTGAAAGAACACGGCATGGATCTCCTGAAGCTTGAGATTCGGTCTTCCATTTGATGGGGTGCTGGCGTGTTGCGGCGCTTGCATTTTAGGGTTTGGGCTTGTCCTCTACCCTCCTACGAAATCTCAAAAAAAACCCTGGCTTCTCAAGCCTGAAACCTCAGCCTTGCCCCTGCGCCAGTAAATTTCTGAAGCCTTGAAATCTTGAATTCCCAAACCCTCAACTCCAAAAACCGACGCTTCTTGCTTCATGCAAAAAACCGTAACAACCTGAGGGGCCGCCGAGACGCACATCCGACCGAGATGGCGATGATGAGCCCTAGGAAGCAAACCATAAGCTGCCTTCGGCGTTCGGGTTGCGAGCACAGGGGCTAGCGTTCGGAACATGTGGGTGGTTGTCAAAATCATGGTCCCTTTTTGGATCCCTATTATAGTACGGCACCTAATATTTAGGGTACCCCGAAAAGGGACCATAATGTTGACAACCACCCATGTCCGGGTTTCGGGCTGTAGGATTTGGGGCTTCGGGCCAGAGGCTGCTGGAGGCTTGGGGCCTTGAGAGGGCTTAGGCGATGGGAGGCCAAAAGGAGGGGGGGGGTGTTAAGATTCTTGGGGTAGCGATTCCTTAATATGAACCCTATGATCAGAACCCTAATCCCTACCAAGCCTCCATAGGCTAAAATCCCTTTTGGCCTCCTGTGATTAGGGGCTTAGGGGTTGAGGGTCTACTGTGCAGGTTTCAACGACTCGAGCATAGGACTTCAGGGTTCATGCCTGAGGGTTCTTGATGCATTAGGGTCGTGTCTAACATAAGGATGGAATGCGGCGAGGGCCTGGTGCCTTGGGCATTGAGGTCTGCGATGTGTAGGGTCTAGGGTCTTTGTCGGGCGGTTTGAAACGGAGGACAGGAAGTTCAATGATCTCTGGGCTGTCGCGCTCATCTCAGCTCGGCAGACTCCAAACCTTCAGACGCAAACAAAACTATGCCGTGCCTCTGCAACAGCTGCTGCGGCGAGTAAAACAACGCCCAGCCTCACCGAGAGATCCGAGAGTCGAGGTGCACAACTCATGGTTGCTATGGTTGTGGTTGCAGATCAACAACATCAAGCTCCAAACACCGAGCAAGAAGAAGCCGGGCAGCATTGCCATGAAGTCTCCCTTTCTCAATACCCTCCTCATCATGCTCCTCATGCTCATGTTCGTCTTGGTCCTCCTTGAAACACCATGCAAGACGTGGCCCTGGGGATCGCTACCTGCCTGACCGTTGACACAACGCTAAACAGTGTAGCCACGAGGAGTCACTAGGAGTCACTAGGAGTCAAATCCTGCAGTGCGACCCCAACATCATGCCGGACTCGCCTTTGGCAAGCAGCAGTTGCAGGATCGACAGCAAGGCCTCCGAAAGGACTTCGGGTTCGTTGGTTTCAGGTGTTTTGGGGACACTTAAACAGGCTGTCAACTACAACTACGACGCGACGACTGCTCCAGCCGCTCGTACCGCGACACCTACCAGAAGTAGCAGCAGTATCCGTAGCCGTAGCAGTAGCAGCAGGCGACCAAGCTGTAGGAGATTCAAGAGTCGTTGTCTGTCGTCCGGGCGGGGTGGCAAATAAGCCAATAGCCAGCATGAGCAACGACAAACTTTCTGTATCTATGATGCAACAAGAACCCAGACCAGGATCGAAATTGCAACCGTCATGCCTTGAAATGCTAGTGATAGTGGACACCCAGCAAGCACCAACAGGCCTTGGCGATCACCACGAACCCGGTCCCAGCAACCTTTCAGGACTCAAACTCGGATCGTTGCAGGTTTCAGGTTTTGCTGGAACAGGAATCCCGGCATTTTCGGCGTTCTGTAGTTGCTGGCTTCCAGCGGGCAGTAACCCTCTACAACATAAACCTGAAGCTCTGTAAACAATAGCTCATGTCTACAATTATCATAAGGGGCCTGAACGATTTGCAAGAGTAGTGCCCGGAGAGTTTCCTACTGCTTCCGAAACATTCATTAACATCGCCGCAGCACCAGTCCAAAAATGTTCCGACCCAGTCGTTCCATGGAAGATCCTACACGAATACCGGAAGACCTGTGCCAAGAAGGTGCCTATAAGGGCCCTATACATGACCATAAGGGGTTCGTCGAGGGACTCTGTGAGGGCTTTACGAGATACGGGGTTTGTATGGGCCAGCATCACCGAACCTGTGACTGCTGCCTGTCTTGCAAGGATTGTTGACTGGAGGGTTGGGTCATAACGAGAATGTAAGGGACGAGCGCTCAGGTATCCAAAACACCAATCAGAAAAGGTTTCTGACATGTACGTGCTATTGAGGAAGGGCAATTCTAACAGAACACAGGTCACAAGAAGAACCTGGGTTCTATTCGTGTTCTCTGCTCACAGCTTTAGGGGCTCAGGGTGCAGCGTATTCAGCGTGGGAGGGCCCGCGACTCGATCCCGGGTCCCCCAAACGAGAGTTAAAGCCCCACTCGGCTGGCACGAGACGTGCAAATCCCAAAAAAAAAAACAGGCTGCAGTACGTTTTGAAGAGGAGTATAGAACTTCAAGGGACTTAAGACACAGGCGTTCGGGTGTGAAGGAGCTTCGGGCTTTTTGAAGGAACGCGAGGCACCCTGGCCTCCAACCACTGTACACCCACGCCGTCTGAAGCATAGACGGCCCAATGCAAGGACAGGCAGGAGCCAGCTGGCCGAAAGCTTTGGGCTCAGGGGCACATATATGCTCACTCCCACTCCTGCTCCTACTCCTACTCCGACCCCTACTTCTACTTCTACGCCCACTCCTGCTCCTGCCCCTGCTCGTCCTACTCCTGCTCCTACTACTCTAACTCCGGCCCGTGCTCCTGCTTGTACTCCGCCTACGACTACGGAAACGGCTACGACTAGGTCTACGGCTTCGGCTACGACTAAGACCACGACTGCGACTTCGACTTCAGAACCCTGTCCCCCCGCCCCTTTCTTGCTTGCAACCGCCTTCGGGATCTCGGCTGCTGCAGTAGCCTATATATATATATACATGTATATACTTCCACTGCGACTATGACCACCACGACTACCACGACCACAGTGACGGCAACAACAGAGACCACGGCCACGGCCACGACTGTGACGGCGCTGGCCTGCAGTCGACAGAGTATGCTGCTGAACGCCTTGTTGCACCGTGTATACTATAGTATACTATAGTATATTATAGTATATTATAGTATATTATGGTATATTACGGTATATTATAGTATATTATGTACCAACATGCTAAATCCAAAAACCCGCCGTCCGAAGTCAAACTCCGAGGTGCCAGAAACAAGAAGGGGCCGTAAGGACCTGTGGGGTGGCACGACTTTACCAGATGCTCCACAGCTGCACTTCCTGAACTTTGTGAGAGGCATTTCAGGTAGAAGTAATCTAGCACCAGCAGCCCGAAACTGGGAAGCCGACAGGAAATTTGCTATATTATCCCGTCCGAGCCCCTACGGATTTATACACAGATCTACCCCTGTGCCCAAAACCTTCTGGCAGTTCAAAAACCCTAAACCCCACGGCGGCCTGCCGCCGACAGGAAGGTTGAGACAAGAAGGATCCTCTGAGGTCACGGAAACTCTGGGGCTTGGATCCTATTTAGGGGTTTAGGGTTTAGGGGTTTAGGGCTTAGGTGTCTAGGGGTTTAGGGGTCTAGGGGTTTAGGGGTCTAGGGGTTTAGGGGTTTAGGATTTAGGGGTTTAGGGCTTAGCTGTTTGGGAAGTGGCTGGCAATCCATGCTAGGATGACGCCACCTGTCATAGAACTGGGTGAAACCGGAAGCCCGCCCGCTGTGATGATACCACAGGCAACCACCCAAACGATTTCCTGTTAGGGTTCAGGGCTTACGCCCTCGATTCCCACGCCAAGCGGACAAGTCAGGGACACAAGGCAGAGGGCAACAGGGTAGCAGGGCTCAGAGAGGAAGGCCTACAAAAGGGGTGTAGAGCGAATGAAGGCCGCCCAAGCAGGGCGGGCGGGCCAGGGTGGGCCAGGCGGGGGAACGGCCCAGGGCCGGGTGGGAATTTAGGATTCCGGAGCTTCGGGTTTAGGATTCCGGGGCTTCGGGTTTAGGGAATTGTGACCCCAAACGCCAAGCCCTAAACCCCAGCGACGGGGGGTACAGGTGAGACAATAAATAGAATAAGCTTTGTGGGCATTGGAATGTATTATGGAAAAAACTACACAGGGAGTATACGGGGCCCGTATCCGCGATTCTTCAGACGCTTGTATAGCCGTATGTTATACCTTGAACAGTGCTGGTTGAATGCACTTGGAGTTGCCGTGATAGAATCAGAGATCGAATTCAACCTCCTGCAGACCTGATATGCGGGCCTCGAGATTGCGAATAGATTTTGGGGGGGCCATATTCGAGTATAACTATGATAAGAGAATAATTTAATAGTATTGGTGACTATTCCGACCCGTATGTTGCATTCTACCTGCATCTTCCTGCAACCCTGGTAGAGTCGAACTTGCTCCCCGAGCGTTGAGCGCCAACGAGACCCCGAACTCTACACCCTACGGCCCTACGGTCCATGGTTCAGGGTGTGGGGGCCCAAACCTATAATCTTGGACGTGAGGCGCTACATAGCTCGGGGAGACTGCCCCGTCTCTACGAGAACAGTCACAGCCTTCAGCATGCTGGTCGGAACTGCCTTAAGATGAATCCTGGGATAGCAAAGCCTGAACCCAAATACAAACGCTTGAATGAACAATCACACTACGCCTGAGGGTCCTTAAAGGGATTCTACTATAAGTTACCCCACAACCCCTCTATCTACAAGCTTCAGACTTTCGGGATTGGGGATCGAGGTTCCCGGTTGCCTGCCTTGCGACCCGAACCCCAAAGCCACTACAGAACCCGAGGCAGCGCATGAATGTGTGTGGAAATACGACTACGCCTATGATAAGTTGTAGTAGGATATCAACCATGTTGGGACTGTAAGGTTTCATCAACCCTACCTGTCCAGACTCCGCTATTACGGACTGAAGGGTCGAAGTGGCGAAGTCCGCACTTTGGGGTAGACGTGGTTTGGGGTTCAGTACTACGGTTGATGATAGAAATCCTGCATGACCCATAATAAGGAATATACCATAATTCCCATAGTTTAGGATCCTTAAGGTAATGCAGGATTTATATCATCAACCGTAGTAAGGGCGGGTTGGGTCTTCGGCTCCGGGTTTACAGCCATGTCGGAAACCGAAAGAAAAAGCGCGCCCGTCCCCCAACATTTTAGAGGTTTAGGGTTAAGAGGTTTAGGGTTAAGAGGTATGGAGGTCTGCATTTAGAGGTTTAGGGTTTCGATGCGTACATTCTTGAATGGAACCCGCCGTGCCTCAGAAGAGGTCTAGAACGAAGTGCCTGGCAGGGCTCCGTTCTCTCGTAGCTGTTCTGCTCCAGTCCCACTACGTTAGATCGTGTCTGCCCTAATGAAAGCAAGCTTTAGGGGCTAAGGCTCAGCCTTTTTTGTAGGGCTGAGGGTGTAGCGAGTCGACTTAAAGCAAGAACTCACGTGAAAAAAACCTTTTTACACTGAACTAACGTAGGGGCCTTACTAATTAGAACAGGGCTTTGAAATTTTGGGGATTCCTTATCGGAAGTCTAGTATAACATACCCCTAAACCCTGTTCAAAGCACTTCTGCTCTACATTAGACAACAGAGCTTTCACGGCATTCAGCATGAGGCTGTGCGTACGCTGCACAACATGGGCATCTGTCAACACCAAGTACTTCGTGTCCAGGAGCGGAGGGGATGCACGTGTCGGCTTGCGCTGTTCTTCCAACAAATACAACCAGCCAAGCAAAATAAGAAACTTGTCTCAAACAACTCTGACGCCCGGAGCGAAAGCGAAAATCCTGTAACACATCTAAAGCCACACTCGAAAGCCTGAACCTCGTGAAGGCCACGATGTCTGTGCTTTGGAGATGTTAGCGCTTTCGGGCTTAAAGCAGCCTTTGGTCTCTTCTCACCGCGCCTCCGAGCCGGTGGCAACGCGACCGGCGAAGCGAAGAAGGAACCCAAGACCTCTGCTTGAGGCTCTTGGGTTCTGTAAGCGTTCTGTAGGGGTCGCAGGGGGCGTGTACCGGGGTGCTGCAAGGGTTATCCAAGGGTTTCACAGGGGTCCCTCAAAGGTGTATACATGGGTTTTGTAAAGGTTTCTATCTCAGCGATCTTCGGGCTGAGGGTTTTGGGGGTTTCGGGTTAGGGCTCAGGGTTGAAAGGCTTGTTGGTTTCATGGTTCAGACTTCAGGGTTAACAGAGTCCTATTCCTAAGCCATGAAACGCAAGCCATAAAACCCCAAAAACCTGAACCCTAAAACCCTAAAGTACTGAAGCTCTAAAGGCCGGGAGTCCGAAAACCCTCTAGAACCCTAAAACCCCTAAGGTCCTGAAGCCCTAAAGCCCTAGAACCCTAGCAAAAATTATAATTTCAGCTGACTCTTAGGGATTATAATAACCAAAAACTAAACATTATTTCTAAGTACCCCTAAGCCCTAAAACCAAACCCGAAAGACCCGAAAGGGCCGCTGAATTCTCGGGGGTTACCGGTTGGGGTTCTACCAGGCTTCCATAGACTCTACAAGGGTTCCATCGATTCTACGGTTTAGGGTTTAGGGTTAAGGGTTTAGGGTTTAGGGTTTAGGGTTCAGGGTTTAGGGTTTCGAAAAGGGCTCAGTGTTAGGATAAGCGTCTAGCAGAGGTTGAGGAGTTTTTCTTTTTGTTGAACTCCTTTTCTCCAGTTGCAGTCGCAGCTCTAGAGAGGCTGAGGTTGAGGAGTCCCTAAACCCTAAACCCTAAACCCTAAACCCTAAACCCTAAGTTTAGGGTTCAGGGTTTGGGAGTTCAGCCGTTTGGGTGGGGCTTCGGGTGCGAGGGTTTGTGAATTATCGGGGGAGGGACTTCAGGCTTCTTACCTTTGGTTAGTAGGGAATGGAGGAAAGGGGTACAAGTATAACTACTATTGCTACCATTCTCCCATTCCCTACTAACCAAAGGTAAGCTTTAGGGGTAGAGAGCTCGCATTTTGAGTCAGGAACTGAGGCTTGAGACTGCGAGGCTTTCAGGGTGTCGAGGCTTCAGAGCTTCAGGGGCTTCGGGTCGGGCTTGCATTGCACGGGGCTTCCCGACTGAAGAGGAAGAAGCAAAACTGACAAGACGAACAATGACAACGACAATGGCGATTGACAACTAATGTGTAGAACAGCAGTAGTTCAGCAGACAGGACAGGACAGTCACTACCATGCTCCTTGTCATGAAAAAGCCATCGCAAGCTGCTGGCCCCGAATTAGATGCTTGGTCTCGGACATAAGAAGCAGGCAGCCGCCGCAATCTGGCCGAGTAAGACAGCACAGCAGTAGCCTTAGAAACCCATAAACCCGATATCTTGCCTATCTTCGTAGCCACAAGGTCCCACAAGAACCCACACACAAACACAGACGGAGCTACAAACTTTGCACAGACTATGTGACATGTAAACCTGAAACAAGCCCTGCAAAGCTTGCAAGCGCTTTCGACAACCTAAAGCCTGCTGATACGAAGAGATCACTTCTTTGCGCGAAGGGCACAGTCTTGCTCTTGAACTAACAACAAACCTAAGTTCCAAACTCTGGATCCAAGATCACAACCCCAAACTGACTCCGACATCGCGATCCTAAGTTAAACTCAACGACCCCATCCTGCGCTAAGTCCGAGACCTCCTAGACGCGGAAACTCCGGATCCGGACTCCTGACCATGAAGCCCGAAATCCTGGACACATACAGTTGAATGTCCGGAAGAACCGTATAAAGATCCGTACAGATGTAAGCCCAAACCGTGTATTGTCTGTGAAATTCCACCGCTCAGTTCCAAGAAGCAAGGCGGAAATCTACAGGCAGTGACACATATTGCCATTCGTGATTTCCATGCTTGTAATCGCAACACCTCTCCAGTCCATGATGATGCCGCCTGGTGAGTAGCAATCGCAGTAGCAGGCGAAAGAGAAGGAAAACCATTTGGATCAGGAGCGTGGGTAGGAGAAGCAGCAGCAGTAGCGATGCTGTAGTTATAGGAAAAGAGAAATCACGGCAGCGTCACCCTGGGCCTGCAGCAGCAGCGTTCCGCGCTGGTCCATGCCGAACTCTTGCTCGAAACCCTGCATTGGCCACTTCGTGGCAGCTGGGAAGGTTTAGGGCTTTGAGCCTTTCCGGGGTGAGTCAAGTCACCGCTGGTGTAGTACTACAGGGGTCTGAAGAGCTCGTTCCAATACTACTCCCGAAAAAGCCGTAGTACTCTTACACTATGAAGCTGAAGCTGTGGAAGCTGAACTTCACAAAAACCCTTCCCCAGAAAATAACTCTTCAACCACAGAACCTGCACTGCGCTGATTCGCTGCCTGCCGCGAGTTTACTGCATGGATTTCGAAGGAAGGAGCGATTTCCTCAGCAGTAAAGTTTAGGTTTAGGATCAGATGAAGGTTTAAGATTGCATGTTGGGGACTCTGTACTGTGCTAGTGGAACACGATCTTACTACGATGACACGGGTGCATACTGATGCTGCGAGCTGCTCTTGTTCTTCTGCCATCGCTTCGAGACCGTCGATTTGAGCGTGCAGCCACCACCCGAAAGGAAACCCAAAAAAGACCCTAAACCCTAAACCCTAAACCCTAAACCCTAAACTCTAAACCCTAAACCCCAAACCCTAAACCCTAAACCCTAAACCCCAAACCCTAAAGCCCTAAACTCCCAAGTCCCCAAAACCACAACAGTCTTCATAGAGGGCTCCCTGGGTTCTAAGGGCTCCTTGGGGCCAAAAAAAGGTGCGCCTTCTGGGTTTGTCTAGGTTTTAGGGTTTAGGGTTTAGGGTTTAGGGTTTAGGGTTTATAGGGTTTAGGGTTTAGGGTTTAGGGTTTAGGGTTTAGGGTTTAGGGTTTAGGGTTTAGGGTTTAGGGTTTAGGGTGCGTTGAGAGTCTTAGGCTTTAGGGTGGCTTATGCCTTGTAATCCTGTTCCAACGACTGGGAGTATGAGCCGGACACTTCCAGGAGCAACCACCACTCGTGGAAGATACTTACCGAAGGACGGGAAAGCCAAGCTTTCCCATGAGACTCTTACGTGACCCTCCGGCAAAAGCTATTCCACAGGCCAAAGCCACAACTTCTATGCGTACGCCCAGAGCAAAAAGAGGACTTATCTTAGCATGCCGGACTCCCGAGAGCAAACATATTGCTCATTCCCAAGGCTCGTAAACGTGAAACCTCAAAACCCATGCTGTCCCGCGCATGGTGGGCATCCGGCGATGTCAACGTCGCACGCCGCGAACGTGAAATACCTGGTGTCTTTGTGCTGGTGAATGTGGAGCAATACAATACGCCATTGAAGCGGCAGAGAAGCATGCGCAGTTGAATGCCGAAACCCGCAAATGTGGTAATAAACCTTTCCTGAACGTGGTAGAGTCCGACATGTTCGGAGGGCTGCCGGGAGAATGCCTAAACCCTAAACCCTAAACCACAAAAGCTGGATGTCAGAAAGGAACAGCGAGGAAGAATGAAGCGAAGCCTGGCACCATCAAGTCACTAGTGTCATCCGAGAAAGGACCGAAGTGTAGCTCCCATGTGGGTACTATTCCTGTAAGTTTCTTCTGCAACTATTGTTTCGTGTACACCAAACCCCGCTTCTATGCATATAAGCGATGCCTCCTTCGGTTCAGGAGTGACACCGCTCTCTACCGCCGCAGCATGCCGAAGGGGGCACAGTCAAACTGCAAAGGCCAAGAAACACACACACACAGTGGGCAAAATTGCCCCAAAGTGGCTGGCTGGTTTTTTCCCTGCATCTTAAGGAAACCGTGCACTCCCACAGGAAGCCAAACCGGAGCAGGCAGCCAAACTCTCCAAGTTCCAAAGCACAGCCTGGCTCATGCCAGCGGCGATCCGAAAGATACTAACCATAGGGTATCTACTAATTAGAATAGCAATGTCTCTGTGTGTGTGTGCTTTTATGAGTCTTATAGGGTTCTAGATGAAGGGGTTACCTGGGTTTCGTGGGGTTTTAGTCTAGGACCCTACCAATTAAGGTAGGGTATGGGGAGTAGTTGGTAGCATACTTTTCTAGGCTGCAGAAGAACCCTACCTCAGCCCTAAATTACTACACCCTAAATCCGAAATTACCAAACCCTGAACCCTAAGCCTAAACCCTAAGCGCTAAGTTACTAAACCCTCTACTAAACCCTAAATTACTAAACCCTAAACCCTAAACCCTTTATTGAGCCAGGAACTCGGAGCCTGGAGACCTCGCAGACCGCACTCCCCTAGGGTCCGATAGCTCTGAACCTCTTTTCGTTTGGTAAAATAATAAATATACTACACAACATCATCAAACATGTTTCTTTTCTATTATTTTCTGTTCATTTGATGCGACATGAGACTTAGAAGGGGCCCCCACCCTGCAATAGTGGTATAATGGGAATATAATAGGGCCCTAATATAATCCCTATAGTCACTATTACAGGGTGGGGGCAGCTTCTGACATGAGACCCTAAACCTAAATGGAGGTCTCGGAAAAGTGGGGGTACCTTATTTGGGGTCCTTGTAATAAGGATCCTACTATTTAGGGTACTATATTAGGTTCCCCCTATTTTCAGAACTTTCAAATAATAGACTCCTAGATCCTAAACCCTGAAGCCCCACACCACCGAATGTGAATATTCTATGATGCACCCCCTCAAAAAGAAAGGTTCTAATGATTAAGACCCCTATATTCGAGCCCATAAAACAAACAACAAAAACATCAAACAAACTCTATAAAACCCCTAGCCCCGGTAACCCAGGCCAGCGGCACCAAAATCGGTTTCGCACGCTTTGGTGCACTTCCACTGATCTCGGCAGCTAGGCTATCCCAAGGCAGCACTTAGGGTTTAGGGTTGCCGTAAGGGTGTAGAGTTTAAGGTTTAGGGCCAGGGCCAAGCCCGTCCTCCAGGACCCCAAGAGATTGCAAGGTTTCCTGGCCCTTGTTATGATTTGGGATTTGGGTTTCAAGGCTTAGGAATAAAGGTCTAGTTTAGGGCTTAGCACTACCGGTTTAGGGTTCAGGATTTAGGATTCACGGCCTAGGAACAAAGGTTCAGAGTCTAGGGCTTAGGGTTTACCGTGGCCCTTAATGGGTTTTTGTGGTATGGTACCGATTTTAGAACCGAGTTCAGACACCAAGGCTTGGGTAACACGATGTAACACGTGCTCCGGCACACGGTTCACTCGCGCTTCGCCAACATTTCCGGTGTCGGGTTTAGGGATTAGGGGTTTCGCACGGCAGGTCTTTTTAGGTTGATGCGTTCCCCTCAAGGCTGTTTACACGTTAGGCGGACCCAATTCTCGTGCTGGTTCATGATCCAACAACTCTCCCGGTGTAAACCACGTGGGTGGTTGTCAAAATTATGGTCCCTTTTTGGGAACCCCAAATACTTGGTGCCGTACTATAATAGGCACCCAAAAAGGGTCCCTAATTTTGACAACCACCCACGTGAAAAACCGTCGAACGGCAAACTGTCGAAGCCTGAACTGAGACCGAACTACGAGCCCCTATGAACCCTAAACACCGGAAAACCCTTATGGGACGAGGTGCATAGGGCGTCGGGTGTAAGACAAGGGCCTGCATCATTGAACTTTGAGGTTTGGGGGCTTCAGAAACTATGAGAAACTCGGGCCACAGTAGGTCTATGGAACTGGTCCGACCTCTATAGCCTCGGGGCCTTAACAATTTTCAATAGGGTGTTGGGGCATACTATGCTCCAACTAATATGAGGAATCCTAAGGAATAGTTTAGGGCCTTTAGAGTTTAGGGGTTTAAGATTGTAGGGTTTAGGGGTTTTAGAGCATCTGGGAGTTATTCCGGCATCTACATAGATCATGGCTTCTGGGCTCAGCGTGTAAGATCTTCCGAAACGGGGTTTATGCAGCAAAACTCCAGCAAAACCCTCGCAAACCTCGTCAAACACAAACTCCCTCAGAGTAGTATAGGTTGTTGTGTCCCCCCAAATCCTGTTAGTTTATGGCCGTTTACGACTTGCGGTGCAGGGGTGAGGGTTTGGGGCTTACAGGCTCAGGGTTTATAGGGCTCCCTGCTTCCAGAAGTCTCGACCACTTGAAAGGTCGATTTGGAAGGCCTTGGAGGAAAAGAGAGGGCTTAGGGTTTAGGGTTTAGGGTTTAGGGTTTAGGGCTTAGGGCTTAGGCTGTAAACCCAACAGGGGTTAAACCTTAAAGCCTCAGCCCTAACGTGTTTGGGGCTTGAGCGTTTGGGCTTGGGGCGCCCAGGGCTGTCTTTACAAGGCCTAGACCCCTTACTCGAAACCTCGACAGCCAACATCCAAACCCCAAAGCCAAAACCCCCCAAACGTGATCGACCCCTTATTCTAGTCGCTATGAAGAGCAAAGTAGACCCTCACGCCCTGCTCTGACTGTTTATGCCCTAGCAAACCCATTCTCGAACCCTTGCAGAGCCCTTACGGAACCCTCTAAACCCTAAACCCTAAACCCTAAATCCAAAACCCCTGAACCCCTAATCCCTGGACCAAACCGATCACTGTAGTTGGAGCTTGAAGATTTTGGGAGTGTCGGGTCGATCGACCAGGATCCAGACTCTAGACGTCAGGCCCAATGTCGATTTAGGCGGTTCTTCGAAAAAAAAAAAAAAAGCTGAAGCCTGAGTAGTTGCGAGCATTTTCCTCTATGAGGCCCTAATAACATAGGGGCTGCTACGAGGGCGACTTTACGGGCATCACGCCGGTTAGATGTTCATTTTTCAACTTCTGCGAAGGGGTTGGGTGTGGGGCGTCGAAAATGGGAGTTAAGGGCTGAAGGGTACAAGTTTCGGGCCTCTAGAGGATAGATTCTGGAGGTCGCTCCGGCAGTGAGATGCGCAGGAAGTTGAGCGTGCAGGGCCACTGTGTCAGAGGCTTAGCTGGTATGGGGTTCTACGCAGCTTTGTTTTTTCTATACCGCCGTAAAAGACATAACTGTATAGCAATCCAGACCCGATGTCCCGTCATCGGAATTCGATTTCGAGCACAAAAAAGATTCGGGTTTTCGGGACTTCGGACTCCGGGCTGAACTCTCATGTAAGGGCTGTAGCATCTAGGATAGGATTCTTTAAAGGGGCTTCTAGAAGGGTTCTGTACTATAGGGGCCTGTATGATTAGTGCATGGCTTTCTTTTGAAGGGGGTTATATTATGCTGTAACTGACTAAGAAAACACAAGGAAAAGTATTGGTGATTATGGAAGCATTCACGTTACTTATTGTCTCTCATCAGATTTCCCAGAGAGTACAGCGACCACTGCCCTGCCCCCCTTCCGAGTGCCCTCTCCGCCTAAGGCTAGGTATGCCTGAGCAGCTGGCAAAGGACTTCCTGTGGAGCATCTCCTTGTGGCAGCAGTGGCGACAGCAAGCTCTACAAATTACAATTGCAGCCACAACACGCAACCCGACAACCCTGCACCCCTGACACTAAGCAGCCTGAAAACCTGCAAGTCCTATACCCTACAGACAATGCTACCAATGGCACCAGTCCTCATCCTTCTTTCGGGAGCGTATTCGAGCCAACCAAAAAAAACAAGCACGAACAATGGAATGATTCGTCAAAACCTGATACCCTCAATCGCAAGACCTTCAACCGAAACAAGACAAGCCCCCTAAACCCTCAACCCTAAACCCTCAACCCTAAACCCTCAACCCTAAACCCTCAACCCTAAACCCTCAACCCTAAACCCTCAACCCTCAACCCTCAACCCTAAACCCTCAACCCTAAACCCTCAACCCTAAACCCTCAACCCCAATCCAGCAGCGTCTCTGAAAGCCCAGAGATCTGACTACGGTTTGGGGTTGTCTGGGCTGCGCAGTGTTCAGGGTCCGGGGGTTTGGGGCTTGTGGGGTTTAGGGTTTAGGGTTTAAAGGGTTTCGGGTTTAGGGTTTAGGTAAGGCGGTGGGAAGTCCGGCTTTGGGGTTTAAGAGCTTAGAGTTTTCCGGGTTAGGTTCTGTTGGTGATTCATGATTACCAACTGGAGCATATTCCTGTCCAGTTAACAATTAACAACCTTCCACAGCTGAGTAGCACACAATTTCATGATTTTGGCTTCAACACTTAGAGAAGGAACAAGAACACAATACCCATAGCTTTCAGTGGCTTACCAATTTACCAATGTCAACAAACTCAGATCGAAAGGATGACTGCTAAAGTCACACCCGAAACCCTAAACCCTATCTTCACAATAGACTGCAACCAGCAGGGACTCGAAGGGGTACGTGTTCGTAAGCTTAGTGTATACTTGGAAGAGGGTTTGGTATGCGATGACCGTAACAAAGAACCCTTACCCCGACATTACTCGAACTTTGGCTT